TGGTTGGTCATTCCGCCTGGCTTGACCTCAGTTTCACTCTGTGGGTCTGTCTCAGGCCACTCTCCAAACCAGATCCCCATCACGGGTCCCCAGGACCCAACTTTCCCTTCATCTGGATATGGGGGTGGGACATCTGCTGATTCCACGCTTCTGATGGCAACTCTGTCGAGACCGCTTGGAGGGAAGGAGCTGAGACTTTCACGTGGTGTCTTCAGCCTTGGCCCACCCTGGACAGGTGGAACATTCACTACAAATGCCCAAGTCAGTCACCCACTTGCCACCAAGGAAGGACAAATAAATGTTTCCAAGCCAAGGAGATGGGTATGGTTATGGTTAGAAGACTATGAGCCTTTGGAGTAGGCAGCCTTGGTATATATCAGGTACCACGGGTCAACCACATGTCCTTAGACAAATTGTGTAATTCTCAGAGGTTTATGTTCTTCCCCCCACACCCAACTCTCTCTCACTCTCTCTCTTTCTCTCCGTCTCTCTCTCTCTCTCTCTCTTTCTCTGTCTGTCTGCACTTAAGGCAGGACAAACTGAAATCAGTCTTAGGAAGACTCATGAAGGAGAAACATGAGTCCTCCTTCATCTGGGATAATCCAGCTACCCAAGACCTGCTGGGAGGGAAAGATGTGTGTTCTGACATTGGGAGGATGGGGCTTTGTCCTGGCTCTGAATGCTTTTAGAAAATCAGAAGCAAAATGCAATGGTGCCTTAGGAACCCCAGAGTAACTGAACCAGCCGTTGAAAATTACCCTGTAGACCTCAACCCTTGCCTTCCACCTTGAGGTAGCAGCACAAGATGGGGCATTGTCACCTAGCCTCTGTGACACTCATCTACTCCTCAGCCCTCCTTCCATGAGTTCTACCACCAGGACTCTTAAGAGAATCACAGTCCCGTCTACGGGCCTCTCTGTGCTTGGCATACTGGAAGTTAACTGCTGCAGCTTTTTGCCTAAGCCTGGCCCTGTTCCTGCCTCGAGAGAAGAGCTGACGCATACAATCGTGCCCTCCACCAAGATGCCCAGGGCAGGTGAAGTAGGACCTCAAGTTCACCACACTCTATATGCCAGCCCAGTGTCACAGGGCTATATCCATTCAGAGGGGTGTCTACGTCTTCACATCAAGGTGACTTACAGGCAAGCTGAGGCCCATCTTTCCTTCACAAAAACATGTTTTGCACATTTCAATTAACCGCAAAGTTGGTACCCGGTGGCAAAGAGAGTCATGAGTTTACAGAAAATGCCAAAGATGGAAGTCCACAAACATCCCTTCCCCGATAATGGATACCAATCCTCATGAAAAGATAACTCCACTTGGCCAGCCCACAACCCTGCCTGAGCCGCCAGCCCCTCACAGTTGGCAGAGCACACCTTGCCCTGTCTATTTCTTCACCTTGCCCCTTTCTGACCTGCAGGGTAACCTTCCCAGTGCTGGCTTCCAACCTACAACACTGTTTTAACAAGGAATTCTAAGAGAGATAGAATGACCACTCAATTACTCAGTCACAAGCCAGAGTTATTTCTTCGAATGCATGTAGGCAGACTTGGTTCTACAGTGAGCCTTCTCTCTGCACAGTGAGTCTCAAAGGAGCCAATTAAAAGGGGTGAAGATGTTCTCCCTCAAATATATAGGCCGGGCATGGTGACTCACACCTGTAATCCCAGCACTTTGGGAGGCTGAGGCAGGCAGATCACCTGAGGTCAGGAGTTTGAGACCAGCCTGGCCAACATGGTGAAA